AATAATCTGTATGAAAGCCCCCCATGTATCATGAGCAATTATTGATACTTAGCTAACTTTTTTGCTAGCCAAAGAGATAGGCAGTATTATGCAACTAAGAAATTTTCTTGGTTCCTTCAATGAATATTGTTTTGATGGAAAGCCAGCCAGTCGTACTCACCTTCAACTCCAAGGTTGCTAGCTATTTACCACATTCAACCTATTAATAATTAATAATGTAATATTAATATTCTACTCCATTTGTCGCCAATAAATTATTATTAATTTTTTGCCAGAATGAACAGAAAAGAAATATACCGTTGTTATTTCAGCAAGTATACATGCATGCAGCGTAAATGTTAGTATTCTCATCGGTCAATTGTTTAATTAACCAGCAAGCCAAAATCTTATCGTGTAGTCGTCATAGTTAATTGATCCCGGAGTACATCGCGCAAATTCTTCATGGAAGTATAATGAAACTCTCAAGGAGCCGAAGAATTAAGCAACAACCGTGCAAGAAAATCTTGTGTTCCACATGCCTTTCCCTTGCAGGACACCCCATCACTGGTCATCCCCCGGCCACTTGGCTTCCTAAATCACATGCCATCGTTAATTGTGAAGATGACTGATTTCCCAAACGTACAACATTCTCACATGCCATGTTTTGATTGGTTCAACCAATTCGATCTCGATTCAAAGGTTTAATAATTTTTTTATTCAGTTTAGCATTAAGAATTTTGAATAAAACTAAAATATTATTTTAGAAAATAAATACTTAATAAAAATCGATTGAACCTCCCACTTTTTACCGGTTATTGACCGGTTCAATTAATTCTTTAATTTTTTAATTGAATCGGACCGAAGACATGACTGATTTGCGATTCAATCGATCGAACCGGCCGGTACAGTCCAATTTTCAAAACATTATTGTTTAGGTGAGGTGTTTCGACCTATATTTTAAAATTAAAATTGGATAATATGCTGACACTAAGAGTTAAGAAGTTTGACCGGCTGAACCAATAATTAAAAACCAAATGGCATTACAAAATAGCTAAATTACATGAAAAAGTACAACAAAAAAAAGAAAATTGAGAAAAATGATTTTTTTCTCTAATTTTTTTTTTTTTGGGTTTCTCTCAATCAACACACAATTTTGCAAAAACGAACAAAACCGAGTCGATTGCCTGCTTAGTTTAAGTTACGCCGTTCCTCTTTCAATCGGTCCAATCGGACCGTCCTTTCCAAATTTCAAACCACTGATACGAATTGAATTTTAAACGTAAAAGGAAAATTCAAAATGAAGAGTCAAGATTGGTTTGTAAACTTGAAACCATGTCCTCTTGTTTTCCTTGACTGGAAGTGTGCCTAATTTGAGCTTTCACTTCAAGTCCAGGGTGAGGAGTCTTGACAATTTCACCTCCAAATCCAATCTTAAAAGATAAGAAACAATTTGCATTCCACTGGATTTGTAGAAAAATCAGAAGGAAGAGTCAGGAACAGTAAGTAATTTTGAAAATTTTGACAGAAGATCAGTTGATTGGTTGTGTACTTCCAATTTAAAACATCGGTGCGTTATGCAGGGATTACAATAAGAATAGCTTCATGATGTATTGGGACCTTGGTGTGATGCCGATCAATCGCTTTATGGAAGCAGTATCCAAAAAAAAAAAAAAAAAATCCCAATTGCTGATAGCTAAAATCCATAAGTCAAAGGTCTCTCAGCTATTGTTCTAGTCCTCCTTATCAAAGCTAAAAAGACATTCGATGGAATTCTTCATGCTTTATGTCATGCAGAAGAAACAACGTGAAAAACGGCCACACCTTTTGCATCCCAACTTAACATCGAATTAAATGTTAATCTCCCTCTCGGAGTGATATTATCCTCGGAGGTTCATTAATTTAGAGAGTTTTTTTTTTTTTTTTGTCAACACAGGGGGTGTCGGGATCAATTCTTACGGGGTCCGACTAATCCCCTGCTGTCCGGAAAAGGAGACCCCACTCCACACCGAACAGATTAACAACGGGACTCGAATCCTGACCGAAGCCAGGTAAGTTGCTATACCTTAAGGAGGGGGAGCGAACCGTCCGAGCTACTCCGCGGGCATTAATTTAGAGAGTCAAGACACCCTTTTTTTCCTAATCAGTAAGTGAAAAAAAAATGGTGATTTATTCTTTGCCCCAACACTAGTAAACAAGAAAAGGATGTGTCCACCACGTACCACAACATAACACAGCTCCCAAAAAAAGAGCACAAAGAAAAGAATATTTTATATAGCGTGCTCTTAAATCCGGTAGTGGTAATTGGTAGTAATCGAATAACATCTTCTCCTGATACAAGTCTCTATCTGGCTCTTGTCACTAGCTGCTAAATCCCACGCACTTACCATAATATAGTAAAGCAGCATCACTCCAGCAAATAAGGAAAAGAATGTCCCCTGATAATCGTTTCAGGGTAGCCATCGTGTTATCTCTGTTTCTCCCTGTATTTGCAGATGTCCCGCACTGTAGTAATGGATTTCGAGAAGAAGCTGCCAAGAAAATAAACATAACAAGTTGCAGGAAGCAAAGTTTGGGAGCTGAATTTGCTTGGAATTACAACAATGGTACAAGGAGACTTGAGATTCTATTCGGGGCAAAGTTACACGGTGACATGGGGTGGCTGGCCTGGGGTTTGAACCCTGGGAAACATGCAGGGATGGTAGGCACCCAAGCCCTTATAGGTATCAAATTAAGTAATGGAACCTCATCGCATGATACATACAGCATTACTGATTCTACCAAGTTAGGTTGCAAACTCCTACCATCCAAGATCGATTTGGAAGTTGGGGATTTTAGCTTTTCTTTCCCGGAAGCTGAGTTCGCCGTGATACAAGCTACAATAGTTCTTCCTCGAGAATACAATGATTCAAGTACAAATGTCGTCTGGCAAGTTGGCAATGTTGCAGCTGAAAAACAGCCCTTCATGCATCCCAAGAATATCTGGCATCTTAGTTGCAAAGAGACAATAAATTTGATTTCAGGGAGTGTTCGAGGCGACGGAGCTCATAAACTGCAGAAATTGAGAAAAGTAAGTTAATACCAACACAAAATGGAATTACTTGTAATCTTGGATAGCTCTTCTTTTTGATAATCACCTAACCTATTGAAATGCAGCTTGATTTGAGCTATACAATTCCATTTATTATACAGTACCAAAGACAGCGCTGAAAAGTTATTATGGAACTCTTATCATTGTCACTGAATTCTTGCAGGTTCATGGGATATTGAACATTGTGGGTTGGGGATCATTTCTTCCAGTGGGTGCAATTATTGCGAGGTATTTCAGAAGATTTCCCGTGGAATGGTCCCAATGGTTTCGTCTTCATGTTTCATGTCAAATTCTTGGATATCTACTCGGCACATCTGGCTGGATCATTGGATTATGGCTCGGAAACGCTTCCAAATACTATGGTTATCATACTCATCGAGTTTTAGGAATAATTATCTTTACATTTACGACACTACAAGTAAGTCTATCCAATGCAGCACTTCATATATCCCCTCCCTGTTGATTTTCTCTGTCTCTGCAATGGCAGCAAAGAGCATAACGTTATATTTATCTGCAGATGTTCGCATTGCGACTAAAACCAAAGCGTAACGATGATTATCGTGTGTACTGGAACATGTATCATCATTTTCTGGGCTATTCATTACTGGCCATTATCTCAGTTAACATATTTCACGGGATTTCCATCTTAAACGCAGATCATACCTGGAAATGGGCTTATATTGGATTGCTTTGCCTGTTAGGATCGATTGCTGTAGTACTTGAAATTTACACTTGGATAAAGTTTTGGAAACGAGAATCGCCAGGCATTCACAAAACTCAAGATCAGGACCAAAAAGACTTGCAAAGAGGTAACAAAAACGATTCAGGTGCAAGCACAGCATCCCATTCCTAGCACCGTACCAAGTTCAAGACTTCAAGATACATGAACTCATCAACCAAGTTGTGAAAAAAAATTCAGGTGGAACCAAAGACCAAAATGCAGCCATAACTATGAAAAGGCTGGGAGGCCAGAGTGCTAAAATTCAAGAAATTGTTTCTGCATTTCACACCTTAAGGTAGAGAAGCTATGACTAGTTTCAGGTTGGGTTTTGGGACTTATGTACGAGATTTATTTATTTTTTTTTTTTTAAATGTTGGTTCTTTGTATACTTGTCATTTCCTAAGTGAATCGTGTTTTTATAATAATCGCATTACTTGGTCTACATGCTCTAATATGAGCAGATTTGTCCAAGCAAAGAATGGTCTTTTAAGTCCAGACATAAACCAAGCAATAAAAGCAGAGCCTCCCATAATTTGATTGTCGTTTATGAATCACCAATTAACCTTACAACAATGGTAATCTTGGTAAGGCATGCCATTTCTTTCTTTTTGTCCTACTAGTTTCATAGTGGAGACAAAAAAATCTAGAGACACCACAAAAGTTGCGAGCTTATGAACATTTTACCTACCTTGCCTACGGTAATATTCAGTTATTTGCGATGGTAAATTGACATACTTTTCATTGGTGAACCCACAAAATTGGTAACTTGCCTACAGTAATATTCAGTTATTTGCAATGGTAACTTGACATACATTTCATTGCCCAGTCTGGGTTCGGTCCGGTGGTTGTAGCCCAGTTGGGTGAGAGCCACCAACCAAGGATCGAATCCCAGTCGTTACCATTGACCGATGATGTCGGGCAGCCTCTCGCAGTCACGCAGTGGGATTAGTTGGGACGTACGGTAACCAGTCCTCGGCCCCAGATACCCACTGTGATGAAAAAAAAAAAAAAACTTGACATACATTTCATTGGTGAACCCACAAATTAAAATATTAAATTGAACTTAACTGTTGGTACAAAAGTTTACAATTTTGTTACAGAAAAAAAGGGCCATAAAAAAAATTTAGTAGTCCGAAAAAAAATTAACTTTTCATTTTGCTATTCCATTGGTATTTGGTAGGGGAGCTTCAGCCTCATGTTATCATGAGGCTTCAATTTCACCAGAAAATGAGATTCAGAAATTAATCTGCTCAGAAAAAAAAGAACTTATTGATAATATGATAGACAGAAAAAGAACCTGGGACAGACTTTGGTCATGTCTGCTACAGTTGTAGAGGGCGTAGCTGCCACGGCCCTCAGGTCAGTTCTCCACCGTGTACGGCAAGCTGCCGAGCAATCCGGTCGCCATGCTGAAGATGTCAGGGTAGTAGCTGTAGGCAAAACAAAGCCAGTCTCTCTTATTCAGGAAATCTATGACGCAGGTCATAGGTGCTTTGGCGAGAATTATGTTCAAGAAATCATTGATAAAGCTCCGCAGGTGCCTTTTTCCCTCTCTCCCTATCTGGGATTTGTTTCGTCTGAAGAGTTTCTTATTAATGATTGGTGGATCATTAAATAAATTCAACCATTATTAGATTAGATCATTGGGTTCTTGATGAGTAAAGGTTTGTTAATTGGACCATAAATAAAAGTTTTTTTTGGGTGTAAGAATTGCAGCTTCCTGATGACATTAGGTGGCATTTCATTGGGCATCTGCAGAGCAATAAAGTGAAGTCACTTCTTGGTATGCTGTAATTGATGTTTGAACCATGTGGTTTTACTAAACTCATATATCTTGTGTTCTTGAACATTTGAACTATTGAAGATTAGACCTTTTCTTCAACTGAGAAGTTGGCACATTTCCTTCTAATTTGTCATTTATTAGGTTGTACTAGTAACGGAATGTTCATTTTACGGTTCGTTATTGCTAACAGCTCAACTGAATTCTACCTTTTCCTTGTTGCCAGAGACATTGTTATTGAAAATTATATCTGTTTCGGAGACAAAAATCCTTGTAATCAAGATGTTTTACTTATTAAAGATGATATTCTGAACTCCAAAAATCTAAAACTCTAGGCATGTCGCCCGTATTTTTTAAGGCATCACACGGTACTTAGAAACTTAAGCTGTACAGTTATATAATCGGGGCCTATGGATTTCATCCCAAGTCTCTAGCAAAACACCTTTGTTCAAAAGCCATCAAACTGGGCATGATACTCATTTTGTTTTGGTGTGTGGTTGCCAAATTGGAATATAAGTGAGATTGTGATACATGTTAAGGCTGATCTCTACCGCATGCAGCTGCCATTCCTAATCTAGCAACAGTTGAGGGTGTAGACAACACAAAGGCAAGTATTTGATTTGAAGTGAATTTTGGAATTGCAAGATTAGAGCTCAAATGAAATCCAGATGCTTATGACAGATGTTCTAGGCTATAACTCACAAGGATAGTTGTAAATATGCCTTTCTCCAATTCACATATAGGTTGCAAATTATCTAGATCGTGAAGTTTCAAGGCTTGGGCGTCCACCTTTGAAGGTGTTTGTCCAAGTGAATACGAGTGGAGAAGCATGTAAGTGCTCACATTTTGATTCTACAGCAAAGTCTATCTAGTCAGATTGTTTGAGCTTGACAATTGATAACTAATGCAGCACCAGAGCTAATATATTTACTTCAGAACTATCCTGAGTCTTGTTATCTTTAAAAGAACATTTTTTAGTTATTCTTCTTGGTTGGCAGTATGATACCAAGAGCTGCACAGCAACATTGGGATATTTTTGAGTTATTTTAGTAAATTATGTTAATCAGTCAAGTCAGCTGTAGTTGTACTGTGGAAGCATGTTTTATCACTTTGGATCATTATAAATGGGGAAAAAAACTTTGTTCTTATTTTCTTGCAAAAACAACATTTTGTCATGATTCTTACTCTGTAGTGACTAGAGCTGCATTAGTATTGCCTTATCTTGATTTCATTAAGGTTCATTAGTCAACAGTTAAATTGGTGATTACATGCAGCAAAATCTGGTGTAGAGCCATCAGATAGCATAGAGCTTGCAAAGCATGTCAGGCTGGGTTGTCCAAATCTTGAGTTCTCTGGTTTAATGACCATAGGCATGCCAGATTACTCCTCAACTCCAGAAAACTTCAAGGTAAGTTCCTAACCTTCTTAGGCGTGATTGAAGACTGTAATGGCTTCACTTCTTTGCGCTTTTGCAGAGGTATGATATAGCTATATAATCCACGCAAGAAGCAGTGGGTCACAGGGTTAGCATTCATGTTATTGTTGCCTCTTTGTGTGTCTTTTGCTTAACAGCAAAAGTTATTTCTTTTCTATTTTCTTTTGAATATTCTTTTGTTTGAGCAATGAGATATGAACTTAATTTTTATGGCTTCTTCGTATGTGAAACTGTATGCTAAATATATCTGTGTGAAGTGCCAGTTTGTAAATGTAAAATTTTGAACAGAAGCTGAATTCTGGCAGATCATTTTTCACTTGCTAACCACATACGCATCCACTTTATTTGTATGGCTTTATTACAGACTCTATTCAAGTGTAGAACTGAGGTCTGCAAGGTGCTAGGGATGGCTGAGTTCCAGTGCGAGTTGTCAATGGGCATGTCTAATGACTTTGAACAAGCAGTAAGCCTGGATTCTTGATGCCTAGATTTTAAGAGTTGAATTTTTATTGTTGATTGAGTTCTGTGTAATTTCTATTTACCTCCTGTTCAATTTATGAAGGCTTACATCTGAACGAATACGTGCTACAACTGATTCCCCAGTATTATGTAACTTTGGGGTTTGGTTTGTTTGAAAACTGGGACTGTCTTGCAAATCTTTCACCAACAGTTTTTCGCCATTCCTTTGATCTTAGAATTTGAACTTGTCGTTAGGCTAAAGTAGTCTCTTACTTTCCTTTAGGCTGGACTTTTGTAATTTCTTTGTTGCTTCTATTTATGGTCTGTGTGCAAAGTTTGAACTTTGCTTCAATTGAAATCTTAGAAGATTAATGGTGTTTCTGAAGCTGTTATGATACATAACCATGAGCTCAATTTTGCTGATAATTACAATTATATTTATGTGTGTATGCACACACACACACACGTATATTAGATATAAAATCATAACCACAATGTTTGTCTAAGATTAGAATCTTGATTGTATGCTGAAATTCTCAATCTGAAGATTTGCATTTATCTGTTGGAAATGATGATTATTCTCCTTCACGTAAAAAGATTATGCTAGTTTTCGCAGCAAGTCTCACTCACTATCCATCTTAAACAATGAATCTAGATCGTTTGAGGCTAGAGCTTGGATAGGTGTTTGTGAACTCTGACTGTGCTTTCCCATACATGCAGATCAAGATGGGCAGCACCAACGTGAGAATTGGATCAACAATATTTGGACCAAGAGAATATCCAAAGGGTCAATAGATTTACAACTAATAGTATCTTTGCTGCATCACTTTTGTCATGCTATATTTATTAGCTTTCTGATAGATCCAACATGTTCATTGACCTGCAATCAGTTAATTCAATTGAATTATCCTGCGAAGACCAGATGCTTATGGATGTGTTGGTACTTGGTACTGGTGTGGTCACACGACTGTTTGTGTTGGTGCTTAACTACTGCAGTTATGCCACGTCTGGCGTTTACTTTCAGGCATAGAAATTCTTGTTGAACCTGGACAAAATTTCTTGAACATTTTGACATCTGCTCCCCTCAGATAACCAAGCGTAAATGCACGCCGCATGGGACAATTCTTCAATCACTTCTCTTGCTTTGGTGGTAAAGCATATTGAAAATTACTTCTATGCCTGCAAATAAGCATTGAGTAGCTACCAGTCCATTGTTAACAAAGAGATTACAATCATGAGAATAAAGTCGTTAAATTAAGTTGAAGGATACTAAGAATAATGTGACGTCTATGCTTAGAAGTGAGACTCGGATAAATACGAGAGCAACTTTAAATTAAAGATCAGCTTATAGCTATATCAGCCAAAGCCGATCAGATTCAGAGCCATCCCATCAAAGCTTATTATTCCAGGATCATTATGCACATCTTCAGCAAAGCTGAACGATCAAGCTCCTGATAAACGTACTATGGCTTGCTGAGTATATTGAGACCCATAAATGTCATCGTGACAGATGTAATCGAATCGAGTCGAGCTCAAGTATTACCATACTCAAGATTGACTCGACATGCAGGAAAGATACTTAAGCTCGAGTGAGTAGCATTACTGGAACTTGAGCTCGAGCTCGACTTGTATGGGCTCGAGTCAATGCGAATCTTATCAAATTCGAGTTAGAAAGATTTGCGGATTTTATTTTTCTTGACAATGTTTGAGCGAAAAGACATTATTGACCTTTAAAAAATTTCATATGACCTAAAGCATTTCGTAAATTCAACCATTCTTTTGGGTATAAGGGTAATTTAATAATAATAATATATTAAAGAATTAAAATTAAAAAACTCGATAAGGTTTGACAAGCCTTCAAATCTTACTATTGGATATTCGAACTCGACTTATCGAGCTACTCGAATTTGATTCGAACTTGATCAATTCGAATTCGAATTGAGTTTTTGACCAATTTACTTGCAAACAGTTTGATTCGATTACAGCCCTTGTTATCGTATTTCCTAATTGCTTTACAATTATTCTGGAGGGAACAAGAACTCAAGCGTCCCTCCAAAAAAAAAATAAAATCAAGTGTCCATATTCCTTTGGCAGAATATTCCTTTGGCAGAAGGAAGGAATTCGAAAATTTTGCTGATCCAAGACCATTGATGCCGCATTCCATCATCTCTCAAGATTTCAATGGGCTCCTAATTCATAATGATGTTGGTGGAAAAGGGGATTTAAATAAGAACGGGGCAAAGGGAAGCGTAGAGTCCTAGACAAAAGCATCAAATTTGGCCTTGGAAAGTTCATAATGTAAATGCTATACAGTAATACAGAAATGTATCAAACTAACAGGGGGTTTTATAAGATGTCTCGTTTTTTCTGTTCAACTCACAAAGAACTGGATGGATATTACGATCACTTCCCTTCTATTAATTTCTTTCCTACTTCTAAGATTTTCCTTTTTTCTTGGGTTGGAGGCATTTTTGTCCTCAAGGTACAACCCAGCAGGTAGTACTATATAACAGTCTGCGCTACCCGCCTGTCATCAATTTCAACTACGCAAGCTCCTCTCTACTAGTGTCTGCGGAAGCCTCCGCTCTATACTTGCCAGCAGCGGCAAAAATTTAGCAGCAGCGATTATGATGGTACCATTGACAAGCTCAACCAAAATTGCATTACTTTCCACCAATACCAACGGATATCCTCCTCTCAAATTCCCCTTCCAAATCGGCAAAAAGAACACTTTCCGGAAATGCAACAGTTTCGGATTTCGGTCCCCAAAGAAACAAAGTTGGAGCTGCTCTGCATCCGAGCAACCCCAACCCCTAAACCCACCTCAACAAAACGAGAAAAGACAACCCAAATTCAAGAAAAAGCAAACCAAACATGCTGATAAAGGGGTCGACCCAGTTGGGTTCCTCACCAAACATGGCATTTCACATAAAGCCTTCGCCTTTTTCCTTCGTGAAAGGTAGTATTGTTTGTCCCTTAGCTCTTCTTCTTTTCCTCGTAATTATGAAAATTATGGTTTCTATTGGACCTTTTATTGGAAGAGGTACCTAGTTTGGTTTTTACTTTATGCCAAGGTACAAAGCGTTGAAGGACTTGCGGGATGAGATTTTTAATCGTTACCTCAACCTAAAGGAGCTGGCTTCTGGGTTAGTGCTTTCTTTCTCTTTCACATATTAATATTGGGCTATCTTATACTGTTATTTAAAGTGCTAGTTTCTCATGTTTTTGAAAGTTACTGACTTTCTGAGAGTTGTTTTTGATATCTAAGTGTTTGTCAGAATTGTTAGCTGAACTCTCTCTCCCTCTCTCTCTCTCTCTCCGTAATTAGCAATTATACCATATGTGTTACCAGTGATGCCTATGTTTCTTATTACTAGACGTGAACTACTAGAGTGATGCCTGTGTTTTTTATTTCTAGATATGAACTACTGGGAATGCAACGAAATGCGCAGCATCGGGTGGATTTCTTGGAGTGGGCTCCAGGTTTGACACCATCTCTGAGGATATTTTTTTCTTGTAGAAGGGCAAGCGTCATTTCTTGCTTAGTTCAAATTCGAGCTCATCAGTGGGCATGTCTGGAAGCTTAAGTATCTAAGAGAAGTTTTAGTTACATGCTATCAGTCTCAAAATGTGTCTATAGATGTTAGTTTAGGATTAGGATTTAGCAGCTCCACTTTAAGTTCAGACTTGTGTTGTTTCTGAATGCAATTACCATTGCTCGTGTAGCTCACATGTGAAGCTGAAAATCTTGACATTAGGTGCTCGTTATTGTGCTATTGTTGGAGATTTTAATGGCTGGTCACCCACAGAAAATTGTGCCAGGGAGGGTCATTTTGGCCATGATGACTATGGTTACTGGTTTATTATTCTTGAAGACAAATTACGGGAAGGTGAAGAACCAGATGAATTCTACTTTCAACAGTACAATTACGTGGATGATTACGATAAAGGTGACAGTGGTGTTACAGTTGAAGAGATGTTTAAGAAAGCAAATGATGAATATTGGGAACCTGGTGAAGACCGCTTCATTAAGTCACGTTATGAAGCGGTAGCTAAGCTGTATGAGCAGATATTTGGCCCTAATGGGCCTCAAACGGAAGAGGAGCTGGAAGAGATAGCTGATCCAGAAACTAGGTACAAGGCCTGGAAAGCGCAGCATAGAGATGATCCACCAAGCAACTTACCTTCTACTCATGTGATAGATACTGGAATGAAAGAGTATGATGTTTTCAACATCATAGACGATCCTGTATGGCTAGAGAAATTCCGTGCTAAGAGTCCTCCCATTGCCTACTGGTTGGAGACACGTAAAGGAAGGAAAGCGTGGTTGAAAAAGTATATGCCTGGTATCCCCCATGGGAGCAAATATAGAGTATATTTTAATACTCCAACAGGGCCTCTGGAAAGGGTTCCTGCCTGGGCCACTTATGTAGTCCCAGGTATCCAGTGGTTGCTAGCATCTCTTATCTGTTCACGTAGTTTGCATAGCGATGCTTAAATAGTATAATTTGATGCTCACACTATCATACGCCACTTTACTTGTAAAAAGTAATCATTTTCATGCTTTGAATGTGTGATCTGTTAATTTTTTTTGTTTTTAAGAGGTCCATTGCTAATCATGTATTCCTTTTATTTTTTTAGGTAACTGTACTTGTTTACATTAATTAATCTGCTTAGCTTGGATTTTGGTCTCAGAAATGAACTTTTCGGGTACATATTCTTGTGTCAGTATCGGTATTGTTCTTTTAATGGTAGTAAAACAAGTTTCGTGAGAAAAAGAAATACTACTTAATTTTTTTTGTATTCCTACAAAGATAGAGCAAATACAAAGTTTAGACATTCATGCTGCACTGATGTCAGAGTTAAATGAAGAATCTATCTTTACCTCTACTTGACTTCCCATCATTGTCGCACACGTTTTCTGTTTATTGAGTTTGCATATCTTTTGTTTCTATACTGTCTTCCTGTAACAGTTCGATATTGAATGCTATTTGAACATGCAGATGCAGATGGCAAGCAAGCTTTTGCAATCCACTGGGAACCACCTCCTGAATCTAAATATAAATGGAAGCACAAGCATCCACCAAAGCCAAAGACTTTACGCATATATGAATGTCATGTTGGAATCAGTGGACAAGACCCAAAAGTTGCATCTTTTGATGTTTTCATTCAAAAGGCAATTCTTCAAGTTATTTTACATTTGTTTTCCCTTTTGTTGTCCTTATTTCCTGTTATATTCTGTCCTTCAATTGCAACTTCCTTCATCTTTATAGGTCCTGCCTCACGTAAAAGAAGCTGGTTACAATGCAATCCAATTGATTGGACTTGTTGAGCACAAAGACTACTTTACGGTTGGGTATAGAGTGAGTTCAGAATTAGATGTTCCTTATCCATATGAAGTAATGATTAAGTGTTGAAATACAATCTTTTAATGTACCATGACATGAATTCTTGAATTTAGTAATTAGCACCATATTGTTTTACTTGCATAAATCTTCCTGTGGAATTAGGATTTGAAAAGGCTGCAAGATAGGACTATCAAATTGGAAGTATGCTTGTGAACTATTTATATTTTGGATAAAATATTTGTTTAAGGGTCCTCATGTATTCTGTATAATATGGGGAACTCCTGGACCGAATGCGGACTAACAAAGAAAGTTATGCTTCCTGCTTTTTACTGTGGAGAGAATCTCAACTGCGCTAGAATGCATCCTCTAATATTTCTAGCCACTGAGTGTCCTAAGAGATGTACATGCTCAGTTTGAAAATATTTTCACCCATGCAACCTGGTTATCCAATGGATTTTCTAGTTCAGTAAAAGCTAACCTGCTGTCAAATTACCTTTCAGTAGCATAATATTTTAGTTCTTCTACAGGTGACTAATTTTTATGCTGTTATCAGCCGCTATGATTCAGTAGCATAATATTTCAGTTCTTCAACAGGTGACTAATTTTTATGCTGTT